ATTAATTAAAATTAAAACTGCTTTTCTTGAAATTACCAGCTTGCTGGTGATTTAATGTGTAATGATTAAATCAGGGTAATTAGTATACCCATCTCCTCAAATAATTGTAATGTGTCATATATTTTTAACGAAATAAAAACTAAAGATATCTGGGCCAGCAGTTGGTGTGGTAGTTAAGGTACTGGACTCCCAAATGGCCATCCATGGTTTGGGTCCTGGACCTGGAGGCTTGCTTTCTCACTTTCTCTCTCTCTTTCTGTCTGCCTTTCTCTAGTGAGTATACATGCTCTATAGCAAATTAAATAATAATAATAAATATAATAATTCTTAAAAAAAAGACACAAAAAACTAAAGATCTCAGTAAGGCCACCGATGAGTCTGTTCCTAAATTTATTCTTCACCTCCTCCCTTAGGAATAACAATTTTTATAAATTTGTTGTCATTATCATTATGTATATATTTACATTACATACTTGTGTATTTATAAATAATATATAAAATACCAACAAAACCTAATTTTGTTGGTGTTTTATTTTATACATGTGATGCTATTTTGCCATGTAACTGTAACTCATTATCTTTATCTCCAGTACAGTATGGTGACTTAATATTTCTTAATTTATTTATCCCTTGTCTCATTAATGGATACGTAAGTGTTTCCAAGTATTTCTAATTACAACCAGTGCTACAATCAATACTCATATATTTCTAAAGAGCACATGTCTGAGAGCTCTTTAGAATAAATCTACTGGTAGAATTGCTATATAGTATGGTGCATTGCACAGTTTTTATATTCACCCATAATGTATGAGAATTACCTGATTTCCACACAATTTGGTATTGTATCTTTTAATTTTTTCAGTTAGATGTGTATAAAGTATTATCTTAATTTGCATTGACTTGATTTGAAGAACTTGTATAATAAAACAGACCACCTTTTCTAATTTTCATTCTTCTTCAGGTTTCCTTTTATTGGACTTTGTCTTTAAATTTACTGAGTTGAACACAGTCTATTATAATACTAATCTATTTTTCATGTTTCTCCAGTGTGCTTTATTATAACTTTACATATGGTTATTTTATTTATATTGAATGTTATCATATAATGAAAAGTGCCTCGTTCCTAATGAATATTCTCTTTATGTTGTAACTAAGCGATATTGTTCCACTTGAAGTCATACTATAATATCCTATATTTTCTTTTAAGAGTTTTGAGACTACATTCACATTTAGATATTTACCATGTGTATAACTGATCTGTGTAGGTACAACAGTGCACTGACTGACATTTATTGGATCTGTACAGATCCTGGGATTCCGGTGTGATTTTCACTAGAATTTAGTTATTAAATAGTTACTAAAATACTTTATGATGGGGGACCAGCAGGAGGCATGGTGGTTGAGGTGCTGGACACTCCCACATGGCTGACCATGGTTCAAGTCTCAGACCTGGCGACTTGCTTTCTCACTATCTCTCTCTCTTTCTCTGTTTATCTCTGTTCAAATTAAAATAAATGAATGAATAAATTAAATTAAATAAATAATTATTACAAAAAAATACTGTATGATGGAGCTGATTCTTTTACTCCATGATCCAGCTGAGAAAACTGAGGTATGGGGCTCAGTATCTTGCTCAACAAGAGAAAGCCTTGTTAGAGAAACATGGCTGGCTTGGATTCAAACACAGCATTCTGTCTCTTCCTAATCAAAACACAAACTATATTTTCAGTATGATCTCAGGATCCAAAATAATCCCAAAATGTCATTTTAAAGTTTACTTTTGATAATAAATTTTTTACTTTTATAATTAACTTAAAGTCATGAGGTGTCAGATGGTGGCACATTGGTAACATGGCACCGAGGCACTGAGAGACTACACAATAGAAGGTTCTGAGTTCTCCTCCAGAGACTCCCCTAACCTGTAGGTATATGTGTGCCCATGATCCCGGCTGGCTAAGGCTTGGGGGGATCATGGCACAAACGCCCTTTTGGGAGTACCTGTCTATCTTTCTCTCTCTCTGTTCCCATTGCTTATGAAAAAAAAAAAGAGATAAATAAATAAACTAAAAAGTTTAGGTAACCATCTTGTTTACCACATGTCCATATATAGCAAGTAGTATTACCATCTATATTAAAATAAATTTTGCAAGTCAACCATAGTATCATTAACTCCTGGATAGCACAAAAAATAACTAAATTAGTTTTAAAAATTAAAAGAGATTCCAAAATTACTTATTAGAGTGAAAGATGTTTATGAATCAAGATTTAAGAAGTGATTCTCTAAGAAGCTCTCAAAAGGTAAAAGCATCTTTATTTTCTTATTTATTTATCCTCATGCCTTTTTCTGTATCATCAAAATAAAAAAGAAATTGCTAAGATGTTAAGCCTTGTTGAGACTTCTCTTTATATAACGTAAATGGATGATTATATTGTTTTTACTTTTATGTTTTACATATTTTGCAGATATTTTCTTATATTTTGGTATTATCACCTGAAAGAGATTAAGATAAATCACGAGGTACAGTCCACTCTTTGGCTTCTGTTGCTTTTGAATGATTCTGTTTAGATGCCCCGCACTGCATTGCCTCCTATATTTTATTTGTGTGTCTGATGCCTCTTCTGATAGCTGATCTTGCCTGGATTTTTTTTTCTAGTTATCAATATGTATAACTTGACATAGTTTGAATAGTTACAGGATACAGCTTTCTTTACAGGGTCAAAAATAATTGTGCTTAGTAGTTGGTTTTATTTTAATGATCAGATCATCAATATTGAAGAGACAGCAGCCTATGTTTATGATTCTAAGGCCAGGGTTTAGTGTGCTCTTAGTTTTATTGAACAATTGCATGATGATGCTATGAGTGAAGGAATATGCAAGATTCAGAGCTGCTGTAAAATTGGCTTCAAAATACATAAAACAGTAAGTTGGGCACATAGAATGGTTTTGAGTCCTAAAACGATTAATGGTTAATATTTAAAATATTATTATTAACATCCCTCTCATAGAGTAGAAACATAAATCATAGGGAGTAGACTCAATATACTTACTGGAAAGTAAAGGTTGCTCATAAGCAATTATACCATATTGCCTCTAAGCTTAAGTAAGTAGTACTTTTAGTCCTAGGATAAGAAATTATAAACCTGAGTGGCAATCTGTTTCTTGATATATATAAAATAAAGAAGTGAAATTGAATGCCATCACTGAAGCAAAAGATAAAAAGACAGGCTGGTTCGAGCCTCAGTGTGAGAACAAATGAGAATTTCCATGGGAAGGCTACAAAACTGGTTACAGGATTCTGAAAACTCACACCTTCATGAGAGTACTTAAGGATGACGAGTTAGAGAAAGGATTTCTTTAGACAGCTGGGCTGTACTTTGAGTCACCATCTGCTACCCCAACAGCAGAAATGCCTGCTTACCTCCTTGAGCCGAGGGATGGTACAGTTCCAGGGCAAGCAATGCCACGTCTTTTTTTGCAGGCTACCCATAGCAACAAAGTTAGAGGTCATGAGACTGATGTGGATTATCATTTGTACTGAGGACCCCAGTTTGTCCACACCAGGTCCAGCTTGTCTGCTCTCCTTCGTGTCCAGGTGTCCTATCTGACAGTCTGGCTGATCTATAGTAACTCTGGGTTCATCATCAGATTCAGAGCAACAGACAACTCTACCAGCTCCTGTAATTTTGTGATATCCTATAATAAACCACTTATTCACGGTCTCCTCTAGCAAATTTGTTTCTGTGACCAAACTCAAACCCATACAAGCTGTGAAGAGAAAGAAGATGCATGGCTAAGAATGTAGAGTCCCTCAGTGATAGAGAAAGAGTTCAGGGGGAACCACCACAGGAACCATAGAGTGCCCTGCCCACAGAAAGGGGTCTGGTTTTTACCTCAGCTAAGCCCAGAAAGCACAACCCATGACCACAGGCATCCAACTTTTCCAACGTTAGTGCCTGCCCAGAAAAAGAGTGGCTGTTATTATGCCTGCAGTTGGATACTTCGCCTTTAAAGATACAGAATTGAAATCTGCCACACTCAAATAAGACTGTGATTTGTGACAGAAGGTGACAGCAAATGGAATTAGTTATGAATGAGCAGAGAAGCTACAGGTGAAACATCAGCCCCGCTGACAAAATGAAATGGGCAAGGTAGTAGCATAAACAGGATTTTGATAGTGCCCCACTTGCAGTGCTTTTTTCACTATATTCATTGTAGAACTTTCACTTTATTTACTTGCCAGGTGTGTGTGTGTGTGTCCCTGTTTATATATTCAGCTTCTTCTTTTTCAGTATTTTTTGACTTTTGTGTTTTCTTCTTTGCACTAACATTATTACCTATTTGCAAATGTCTTTTTAAGCAATTCAGTTTCTAAATTCAGCATCTGTTTCCTTTTCATTCAGTGACAAAACATGGAATGTTGCAGCATCAAAGAAAGATTGCTTCTGGAAAGGTTTGAAATTGTTTCACCTTAGAATGAGATGGAAATAACCATCCTCCGTTTTGGAAAACGCCAGGGTATGAGGGTGCTTTGAAAAAGACACCTGTTTGCAATTTAGCTACCGCAGGCCCATGAAAAGTATGCTTATATAATATGACTGAGGACTTTCAGAGAACACAGCCTGATAGAGCATGAAGATTTATTCTCTAGTAAAGTCTAAATCTCAAGAAGAAACAGGCTGAAAAAATATCTAAATGTGAGTATTTACATTAATAATAAACTTATGTGATTTATGGCATTACCTAAAAAATTAGTAAGAATAGCAACAAATCTCGATATAAAAAAGCCACCAAATACATACAAAGCAACTTTTAGGCTCGGTTATTTGCTATATGGGTCAGTACATCCTGTGTGATTCTAATCCCACCTATAGTGAGTGGTTTATGGTGGTTACATTTTTTTTCTTTAGATAAAATTATTTTAAAATGTAATTTTCATTACAGAAGAAGGCACAGAAGAATATTATGTGAAAATGGAAAATAACTTTAAGAGGAGGCTTACCTCAATTTCTGTCTGCTCCTCCTGCCAACTCCGGGCAGCCCAACCCTGTCCTCCTAGCACTAATGGCCCAGAAGCAGGCTAAGCCTAGGCTGGGCAGATATTCTGACGCAAGCCCAGCTTGAAAAGTTATTAACAGAACAAAGTTCTCTGGCTCAGGAAGATTTGCTGAGCTGCCCACGTTAACACTTGGTGAAAGGCTGGATGTGCAGTAATGAACAGGTGACTAAATCTGTCAAAGAAAAGGGAAAGGACCCATGTTGAAAGGTAGATACAAAAAGAGTAAGTTCAAGAGAAAAATCAACAAGGCAGCTACACCAAAAATGAGGAGGAGAGAAACAAACACAAAAAGAAATAGGCAGCACCGTAAGTGTATCCCACAATCCAGAGACTCTATGATTACAGTGGAGGTTTACTCAAGAGGAGTTAAGGCCCAGCTGCGGTGGTGTGTGCTTCATGATGATGTTCTACAGGCTGAGGCCATGTAGGAGGCTTTGAGTTGACCTTGCTAAAGGTCAAACATGGTGACACACACCTGTAGTCCCAGCTACTCAAGAGTCTGAGGCAGGAGGATTGAGACAGAGCAATGCCCTTTCCAAAAAATAAGAAAGGAGATAAGATTTCTGGAAAGGCAGCAATGTCCATTTTCCACCCTAGTTACCCTGGCAACACAATGCCTTTCTTATAATAATCTCATTATAGTAAGAAAAAAAATGAAGAAAAATGATGTGGAAAGTGATTAGAGGGCAGGTTTCAATTCATCTTGGAAAATGCTCTGGGGAAGAATATGAAAGCTGTTTGTTCCATAAAGGGGTGAAATCATGAAGAAGCTTCACTTAATTGAACAAAGATAACACACACACATACTGCACAGTTCAGTTCTACCACTGGATAGAGATGACTGGAAACTGTGCCACTTTGCCATGCACTTGAGATCTCCATTTCTGCTCCTGTCCGGATCTTGCAAATATTAAGGGTAGACCTGATGCTATATGTCATAAATAATTGCACTTAAGTTTGTGTTTGCTATTGTTTTTCCTGTGTTTTAAAGGCAAGGATGAACAGTGAAACTATGGAGAAGAATTTTCCTTCCACCCTATAAATATTTGCTGAAATGAATTAAAACAGATTTATTAGTAAGAGGAAAAGGCATACAAATTCATTAAAGTGCATAGTAAGTACAGAAGTCTTACAAATATGAAGCTCAAAGAAGGGCCAGGGTTAAAGCTTAAACAGCATGTTGGGTTAGGAAAAGGAATATGGTTTCTAGGGGGTGAGAAACAAGAAGTTTGGATGAGGTGAGGGGCAGAACAGCAGTACAGTGGGGATGCCCATTTCCTTACTACAGAGCTAAAGTCCCTTAGGTAATTCTCAGACTTGCCATCAGAAGAATGAACAGATGAGAAGTCTGGGTGTGGTAAAAATTTTTAGTATCTTTTCTTCCCCTATGGTTAATCTTTCCTGGCTATTTGCTTAAATTCCTAGGGAGATTTCAGATAATAGCATTTATTTTGGAAGAAATTTTCCTCAGGCCAGAGGGAGCCTCTCTCTTCTTGGGGAGAGTGAAAGTCCTTGTTTCTGAGGCAGCTTCTAAGACCTTCAAATTTCCTTTAATCCAAAAGTGTTCAGTATGCCAAAGTACTGTAATTTGGGGTATCATTTCCTGAGTCCCAGCAGCAGTAATCTACAGATATAAATACTTTTGGAATACTGAACTTTGAGAGGCAAGTTCCAAAGTATGGCGAGATTCCACAAAAACAATGTTGAGTAGCAGGTGATGATACACACGTACAGGAAGAGCAATCACAGAAGAGGTCCCTGTCTCATTTTGGCATGCAATTGATCAATAGTTGGAGAAAACTAATGCAAGATTCCAGTGTCAACGGAAACAACCAAACCCTATGAAAATATTTTAAAAGGTTTGTTCAGAGCAAAATTACAAGTGACCAAAACCAGTGAACACAATGTCTGGTAGCCCTAAGCAAGTGTCGATGCTTAAATATAGCAGCTCTTTTATTTATCATGGTTTCACGAGCAGGAGATAGAAGCAAAACTCTCGATCAACATGTGGAGTTTTCAAAAGGACCGGGCCTAAGAAGGTGGGACATCTAGCAGGAGGTGCTTACAGATTATAGGTGGGCTTAGAAATTCTTAGATTAGCAATTGATTGAAAGCACAAGACTGTGTCCCAGGAAATTTGAGTCAGCAGAAAAGAGTGTCTGAGTTTGCGTGATGCTATTCCAGAGTCAGGATGTAGGGTGCAACTCCCATTCACCAGACCAAAGCTGTGGTCTGTATTAGCAAGATTAACCCAGCATGACTCTTCCCTAACATTTTAGGAATAAAAGTTTAGGACAAAGAAAGGCAGTCAATTTCAGTACTCATATATATATATTAACATGTATAATTATACTTATTCAGGTAAGTGCTTTGTATGAAAGGAAAGTGGTCAATGAGAGTATCTCATTAAAGAGGTTCTCTACCATTAGCGTACATTATAATCACCTATTGTTTACTGGACCCTTCTCTGTGATTTTCCTATCTGCTTCCCAGATAAAGCTGATGCTACGGGTCCTGGGACCAAACCTTGACAAGCTTTGTTGTCAAGAAAACTCACCTAAATTGGGAGATATCAATTCTTATGTTTGTATCCAGCATGCAAAACAACTTGACTTCAGCAAGTACTGAATAAATGTCTGCTGATTTAAATTATGTGCTTCCTGTAACATAGTCTACTTAGCAGGGATTTCATTGTTATGAACATTTCTTCAGGAATAATGCAGAATTTATTATGACAAACATGATCATTTTTAGCAGAAAAGCAGTAAGTGGTAATTTTATGACCAAAGCTAAAAACTCTGTATAGTCTCCTATCTTCTGTATTATCTCCTATACAATTATATTTTAAGTAACAGGAAGTTTAGAAATTTTCTGAGAGAAAATGAAGAATGGAAATTAGGTAAAAAGCAATAAAAACCTGCAAAGGAACAAAATGTGTATTATACAAGAAAAGTAAGTTATAGAAAATGTTCAGTCTAGAAAAAATTGTATAACCTATAGTTTAATGTAAACTGAATTAACTGTACAAATGCAATTACTAGAAGTCACTGTATTTGAATGTTGTATGTTAAAATGTTAAAAGCTACATCAAAGTAGTTAAATGTGGGGACTAGCAGGTGGTGTAATGGTTACGTTTCTGAACTTCCACATAGTCTATTGCAGTTCTAGTCCCAGACCCAGTGGCTTAAACTAACACCAGGCTCATGTGCATGCATGCCCAAGATCCCAAGAGGAGAATAGAGGAGAAGGGATTGCAGCATGGCCATCCCCCTGGGGGGTGATTTCTCACTTTCTGTTTCTCTTTCTCTCTCTGTCTTTTTGGTGAGCACACATGTCCTATAGCAAAAACTTCTCAAAAAAAAAAAAAAATAGTTCACTGCTGAGTAATATTTATTCAGGTAAGTGCTTTGTATGAAAGGAAAGTGGTCAATGAGAGTATCTCATTAAAGAGGTTCTCTACCATTAGCGTACATTATAATCACCTATTGTTTACTGGACCCTTCTCTGTGATTTTCCTATCTGCTTCCCAGATAAAGCTGATGCTACGGGTCCTGGGACCAAACCTTGACAAGCTTTGTTGTCAAGAAAACTCACCTAAATTGGGAGATATCAATTCTTATGTTTGTATCCAGCATGCAAAACAACTTGACTTCAGCAAGTACTGAATAAATGTCTGCTGATTTAAATTATGTGCTTCCTGTAACATAGTCTACTTAGCAGGGATTTCATTGTTATGAACATTTCTTCAGGAATAATGCAGAATTTATTATGACAAACATGATCATTTTTAGCAGAAAAGCAGTAAGTGGTAATTTTATGACCAAAGCTAAAAACTCTGTATAGTCTCCTATCTTCTGTATTATCTCCTATACAATTATATTTTAAGTAACAGGAAGTTTAGAAATTTTCTGAGAGAAAATGAAGAATGGAAATTAGGTAAAAAGCAATAAAAACCTGCAAAGGAACAAAATGTGTATTATACAAGAAAAGTAAGTTATAGAAAATGTTCAGTCTAGAAAAAATTGTATAACCTATAGTTTAATGTAAACTGAATTAACTGTACAAATGCAATTACTAGAAGTCACTGTATTTGAATGTTGTATGTTAAAATGTTAAAAGCTACATCAAAGTAGTTAAATGTGGGGACTAGCAGGTGGTGTAATGGTTACGTTTCTGAACTTCCACATAGTCTATTGCAGTTCTAGTCCCAGACCCAGTGGCTTAAACTAACACCAGGCTCATGTGCATGCATGCCCAAGATCCCAAGAGGAGAATAGAGGAGAAGGGATTGCAGCATGGCCATCCCCCTGGGGGGTGATTTCTCACTTTCTGTTTCTCTTTCTCTCTCTGTCTTTTTGGTGAGCACACATGTCCTATAGCAAAAACTTCTCAAAAAAAAAAAAAGTTCACTGCTGCGTAATTCATATTCTAATATTTTCTCTGAAGTTACCCTATTTTGCTACCTTAAGACTAGGATGATATACATAAAACAAACTAAAAACTTAGGCATTATTCAAATATAATACTGTATTAAGCCCATATGGCTGGTATTACTATGATGTAATTATATACATGGAAATTCAAAATTAAATTTCAAGTTATAGTTTTATAATAATATTTACTTTATAGCTTTTAATATTAATACAATGATAAATGATTATAATGAATAAATTTTAGGGATAAAGTTGTACATATGTCAATAAATTATTCACTATTTTCCCTCGAGGGATCAACTACACAATGCAAAACACTATAATAGTCCAGTAATGGAAGAAATGACCTCTGTATGCATATAAAAGAAGCTAATCCTAGATGTTTCCTTCAGGCTATTAAGTTGAATCAAAATTCTTCAGTCTGACATTTTTGAGAATTTTGCCAGTTATTTACAAAAATCAAATTTATTTTTTAATCCTAAAAAAAACTTTGTAAAAACATGACCTAATAGTTTTGAGCACAGTTTCACTTGAATAATGTTGGTTTTAAGAAT